TTTAACCATAAATAAAGCAGCTTGGCCCGGGATTAAATCCCGGATCAAACCAGGGGCAAACACCCCTCCAATTGGTGCCCCTGGTTTGACCTGGGATTTAATCCCGGGCCAAGTAGCATAACCCTTTAACCATTAAAAGTACAACTTGATGACAGAAAAAGTACAAGGAAAAGTAATGTATTATTATAAACCATACAATCTGCTGTTCTTGATCAAACTTACATTTAAACTATCATTTCTCAGATAAAATGGTTTTATGATATATGTATATAAATCACTTTAAGTACAATCCTTACAACATCGGCAACATTCATTTCAAATTAGGAGGTTAATTTGTTAAGCCAGATGAAAACTTGATACCAGTGGCTGGTAGCCATGACAATCCATCAATGAAGCGTCTGACGGTGAAGAAACTGGCCACAGAAGCATCGGTAATTATATGATATCCCGGCCACCGGACACGGCCTGAAGTCAATGCCCCGGGGCCATAGTTTTTGAATTCACCATACCACAAAGTGCTCAATGCAAAATTCCCATACCATTCAAGCCACCCTCTTGGCTGCACCTGCCCACTCATATAAGTCTTCATGAAAACTGTCCTGGAATATTGTTTCCAGGGCCTGCCTAAATAAGTTGGCTTGGTGGCGTAAACGTAGCTATCTTGGATTGAAAATCCAGTGCTTTGATGAGGATCTTTTCTGCCTTGAGCTGTGATTGTCACCTTTTGCAACGGCAATGGTTCCCTTGTGAAAATTTTGCAGTTTTGAAGGACAGCAGCACCATTGCCAAAAATGAAGTCTATGGTTCCATAGACGCTGCATTCACGATAAAATTGGCGTAAAGAGTGGGCATAAAGAGTGTCTTGGTAGCCCTCCATACTGCATCGGTAGAAGGCCGACTGGTCAGAATCTACACGCAGTGCCACTGCCTGGTGGTTTTGAGGTCCGGCTGTGTTACGAAATGTTATATCCCTTGCGATAAATCCCTTTCCAGAAACAGCTGCAAAAAAAATACGATGGGATCATTAGTTACTCTAGGAATTAGTTCTCTTGTAAATCATTAATAAAAATCGAGAATGTTCATAATTAGCAGAATAGGCAGAATCAGACACAATGGGGGTGATCAAGTATTTACCAACAGTAGCCGTCCGAAACGTAGTCCATCCTTGCATGAAATTACGATTACCAGTAATGACAGTTGCCCCTATTCCATCACCTACAAGCATGATATTCGTCGTCTTCTTCTTCAAATCGATATGCTCCTGGTAAACTCCCTTCTTCACATAGATAACGTACCTTCTATTACTGTAACTTGGAGCCTCGAGAATAGCTTGATTTATTGAACGATAACGCCCGGTTCCATCCAACGCCACGATTGCATCTGCGTGCATACCTTTTGGACTGGAAACGAGAAGCTCCTTATCACCATCCGTCATCCACTTCGGGAAATCTGTGGTTTCGTTTTCAATAGCCGTACTATTTCTAGGTGGCTTGAAAGGTAGACTATGCATTTGAGTATACAAAGTTAAAACATTACCAATGAGTTGTGTTACTTGTTTTAGACTTCCCCTTACGAAGTTTTCTAAGTGCCGGTCGGTACCTTCGAACCCTTCAAGGCACGTATCTTGGTTGCTTAATGCTGCACTTAGCCAAGCCTTTAGGTTTCCTTCAGATTGTTCATTCTTGAAACCGGCTCGAACCCTCTTCATTTCATCTAATGACCAAGCCAATTCAGAAACCGAGAAATCAAGGAGCTCCTTGCAGTCGTCGATGGCTATTTGCTCGCGATAACTTATCGACAAGCTGGTGACTTTTGTAAGCGTGTCAATGGCTGATCGGGCTTCATCGAGCGTGTTCTCGAGGGCGGCTTGGAAGACGGAGGTTGGTGTACGACGACCAACTCTGTCTTCGAGCCGGGAATGTAAGTTTGATAAACATGCGTTTTGATTCTCTATTTTGTCACAGGCTTCAAATATCATCGCCTCAGGCGAATTATTTTGATTTTCTAAAGCAATTCCCCCTGAGAAAATTTGAAGGGAACATAAAAGAGTGAAAACAAGAAGGAAATTGGCCGGTGCCATTGATGAAATACTGTGATGTAGAATGGCAAAAGGAGAGGAGATGGAGTTTCCGTATTACAAGAGTTCCATTTATGATTTATGTGAATAAAATGTGCGATAACTTGCCTTGGAAGAAACTAAAAAGATATACTTTTTCCCTAGATGAAGCTCAACTTATTCTACCTTGTATAGCATGCTTTAAAAATTCGTTCTTTTACTGTTCATCTTTTGATTTCTTTCCTCAGATGCTGTTTCTAGAAAGTCAGATTTTCGATCAAATTTTTTGTTAGAAAGGGAGAAATTTTAAAAAAAATCAATATATAAATAAGTGGGCAAGACAAATACAATTCAATAACTTCATTTAAATATAAATTATTACCAATAATAATAATTAAAAAATAAATGAAAAAATTAGAGACATGTTAGCAAATAATGTACTTACTATGTAGTAGTGTAAACTTGAGTAGTATGAATCTTTTTAAAAAAAAAAAGCAATATAAAATGAAGGCTTTAAATTGTCAAGCCGGGGAATAAAAATACAATTTATTTAGCAAGTGGAAATATTATAAATATAAAAGGAACTCACAAATAATATCATAAATTTTAATGAAAAAGATTATAATTTTACAAATTCTTGATTTTCAATTTTCTTTATTATTATTATTATGTGAAATTAATTCAAATAAATTAAAAATAATTATTTTTTAAATCAATGCCACCCGTTCAAAGAAAAATAGAAATTCTACATTTTTTTACAGTCCACATGACTAATGTTCATAGTCATCTTTGAATGTCCATGTCAATGTCATTGGTAAACTTAGAAACGATTATCATAATCATTATTTTTTATTAATTTCATTGCATAATCTCACAAATATTATGATTTTTTTATAGTTTTTCAACCCAACAATTAAAATTTAAACACAATAATTAATTATTCACCTCTACTATCATATATATACTAAAAATGTTAGGATCTAATAAGGAAGCTTTGCATTCATCAAACGAGATTTAATATGGCACAATTGATGTAATAGATCACTAAATACAAAGACAAAATTTAAAGTAAAGAAAACACAAGAGAGAATTAATGGAAAAAGAAGATTTTATTTCAACCAATGGAGAGCTTAAATTATATAATGTGTATAATGCTTCAAGAAATATGAAGGAAGGGACTACATATTTATAGGTTCATACCAGACCATAAAGTAGGAAATAATATAAAAATAATGTGGAATAGTGGAAATAACATTTTTCCAACAAAATCACTTGAAATAAAAGGAAACAATATCACGTGAAAATAAGGAAACAATATTTCCCAATAAAACAATGTGCAAATAAGGGAAAAATATTCTCAAAATATTTTACATAATTTGGGTCACCAAATCTAAGAATCTCCAACTTGACACAAATTTCAGTGCATCGAACTAAGCAATAAAATTTCTCCACTTGGAAAAATAAATCCGAGTACAACGAAATGACAAAACCCTTCAATCAAAAACTTCAAATCTCTCAAACACAAAAAAACTGTCTTCCTCTTCTCAAATATCCAGCTTGATACATGAACCACACCTGGTTCCCAAAAATTCCACCATGGAAATAATCAACCAAATAGTATCCACAAATGATACTCGAACTCATACACCGAGTTCCAAAAATTCCTCAATGGAATTCACAATCAAAAGATGTTGAGTTGTCAGATAACATGTTAATGGCTCTAAGGTATCATGAGTTGGCAAATCGGCGCAAGGATGGCAAGTAATCGCGTAACTTTGACAATTGAGTCGTGTTTCGGTAATTTGGCCATAACTTTGGCTACGGTTATCAGAATCGCAATTAAGACCACAATCCGGAAAGCTCGTTTTGGCGCGCACGTCATGGCCACTAAGCTTTGCTCTGTGTGTGTGCAGTTTTCATCCTCAAATTCCGCTGTTTTTCCTTCCGATTTGTTATTTTTGGTAATATTTCGATTGAATATTAGGAGATGATTTTTAACCCGATTTGTGCTAGATTTTGTGCAGAATACTTATTTTATTCCATATTTTCGTTTGGTGTGATTTTTAGAATTTTTCCATATTTTCGGATTTTAGCTATAAAGTCCGGCTTGTAGACTTATTTTGATTATTGCGTCATATAATAAAATTCTCTAAATTTCAGAGACGTTTTCTCTGTATTTTTTGGCGTTAATCTTGTGTTCTTCTCTATGAATTTGCTGGTAGAACTAGCTTGCAGAATAATCACTATTCTGCCCGGCGTCAGGTATAAATAATACCCAAATTTAATTAATTCAGTGGGCTATAGTCAATGGAATTATAAATAATACATAAGTTTAGACAAGATTATTCAGTCATGGCGTGATTAATAATAGAGAAAAAAGTTAGTTTAATCCAAATACATAAATTTACATAATGCAAATATTTTGCAAGTAAATTAGAGATTAAAAAATATTTTTTTATCAATTAAAGTTAAATATAAGTAAGTTACTTTTTTTTTTCCTGAAAAATTAGATGAACTTTCAGAACTTTCATTTTTTTCATACTTACCAAAGATTTACTTGCATAAAAATTTAATTAATTGTAATATGTAAGAGAAACTTAATTGTTATGGTGTAACTTGAAGTTTACATAAAAAGAGTTGCATGACATTTTTATAGTTTTCAAAATACTTTAAATAAAAAAAAAAAAAAAAGTCAATACTCTGTATGATTTTCTAATAGAGCGTAGCACCAAAGATTATATGAACAATCTCATTAGTCTTATCCCTTCTAATTTAATAGGGCTGTAAAAAACACGCCCTAAGAGTGAAAAGCAACTCATCCACTAAAATGGTAAATTTCCAACTCACTGGGAACTGGACAAGATCCCATTTTCAACTCAAAACCTTGGTCCACTTATTTTGACATTCTTCAGTTATATTCAAGAATCCGGAAGATTACTTCTACATATTTCATTCATGCATGATGCAAAATTTGTCAGGTGTTCAACGATTTCAATAGAAATTTGCAACGCTCAGTTCATATAAATCACTTTAAGATTGTCCAATAACCGTGCAAAGTAATGTGCCTTCTAGTTTTTTCCCCCAAATTATGTAGCAAAGATCATCGATGATATGTTTACTAATAAGTGTATTTTATTCACTTATCTATTCCATTATACATAGATATTTGTGAGTACTTTTGATGAATTATAGTATAATATCTTGTATATATTGTTTGGTAGGTAAAACTTGATAATTGTATGTGATTTTTAAAGAAATGAACGATCGACAATGAAAAAGGAAGATTTTCAAAGTTTGGAGACCAAATTGTATATATTCAAAAGTTGATTCGAGCTAAGAAAGAATGATTAAAGATTATATGGAATGAATTGAATGAAATTAGAACGCAAAAGATGAAAATTACACGAAAAAAGGACCAAGCGAAACAAAGAAGGAAAATAAGGACCTACTTGATTAAATACGAAAGCGATTAAAACATATAACCATGTGATAGCAGATTTTTTTTTTAACAAAGACATCCACACATCCTTAGTAAGTTTGTAAACTGCACCAAAGAAGGTCGATGGAGGGAGTTAATGATTTTCTCATAAAAATGCCCAGTATACATGAAAGGAGGGAGTATAAACCTAACATCCTGAAAGCAACATAGTAATAAATGTCTAAAAGCAAAAGGAATACATGAAGAAGTACTACTTTTTGTACAATAAGGATAAAAGCAAACGAAAACTAAGCTATAAATCTCGAAAATTGGACAACCCATATCTATCAATCTGGACAAGTTTCCTAATTTGTCAAGGGAAGTTAAGTGGTCCATACTCTTGGTATCGACGGTGGTCCCAACCCTCAGAAGCTAGCAAGTATGCAACCTGGTTTCCTTTCGGTAGATGTGGGAAATCGTGTCTCGATCAAAAGAGATGAGATCTCTGATTTGTCTAAATATGTTCTGAATCGTCCATGGTCCTTCACCCATGGTTAGTGGTGGCAATCGAGCCGAGCGACTCGTCGGCTCGGCCACTCGGCTCGTACTGTAGCGGCCCACGAGCAGCTCGGGCTCGTCAAAAAAGGAGCCCGAGCACGAGCCGAGCAGGCCGGTTGGGTAGGCGAGCCGAGCCTGCTCAGCTCGTTTTTGACGAGCGGCTCGTCCTTTTTTTTTTTTTAAAGAATGATAGTTAAAAAAAATTCAAAAAAAGCGAGCTCGAGCCGAGTAGCTCGGCTCGGCTCGCTACAGTACGAGCTCGTGGGCCGAGCCGAGCTCGCCCACGAGCAAACGAGTCGAGCACAAGCTCGGCTCGTTTTATAACGAGCCACGAGCCGAGCTCGTGGGCAATGAGCCGAGCCGGCTCGGCACGGCTCGTTTGTCACCACTACCCATGGTGATGCAGTGAATAACCACGGTCGTATCGGTCTCAATCGAAATAGCTGAGATACTAAGTTCTCTTGCCAACATATTTGGTTTATAACCTTGTGATCGCAATGATTTGTACTATGCGATAGTTTGGTTATACGAGACACGATTTATTTTGTTTTCTATTTTGATTCAACCTTTTGTTGAAAATCATTTTGGACAAGATTCGTGACCTAATTTTAGCCTCTTTTAAGTGCACAACATAAGTCAACATTGAAGGGGAGTCTCTCATATCGTTCATATCATACAAATCTTACGATCAAGGGAGGCCAATTCTACATAATTTGATGACAACGTGTCTAGCATTGATTTGAAGGCATGATAAGATCATGACAACCTAGTTAAATTAATTTCCATTCTTTCCAGCAGCAAACAAGAAGAAAAAATTGTTCACTAGAAAAATCGATAATCACAATACGATATTTTAATAGCCTTTTGGTACAGATGATATGATATGTTATCGAATTCTAAAGATATGATATGACTTTACGACTATTTGAGATATAAATCGATAAATGTTATTCTGGATTGTACAAATACTTGTATCCAATTGGGAATTCCTCATACTCACCCCTTTCTCATTTACATCATAGGTTAGAACGGATCGTTGGTTGGCAGG